TTGACCCACACATGACAGCAGACCTGGATCGACACGATATGTGACGGTCCAGTATATTACTACGCGTGCGATATAATTGACTGGATTGTATTGCGGAGATAATTGTAAATAATTGAAAATTATAGAGATACAAAATAATAACAACATATAAATATTGAGAAAGACATAGTGGCTCTTATCTGTGACAAAACACTTAAAGAGGCATTAATATCTGGAGCTACTTTGTTTACGCGTATGCATCCTTCTGAAATGACATTCTGAAAAAGTGCCGGCCGGGACTAATTAAAATCAGTTTTTTTAAGTTAATTAATAAATGACGCGATTTTGGAAAACACCACATATAATAGCCTATTACCTGCCCAGTACCAATCTGAACATTTGAGTGAACGTTTTGTTTAAATCGGCTCAGTAACAAAAGAGAAAATCCCGGACACACAAACCCCAATTTGCCTTTTATATATATAGATATAGATAGACATACTGTATATAGATTAACGGCAGACTGTCATTAGTTAAAAAAAACTCCCCTAATTTAATCAAAAACAACATTGAAGTAAATTTGATCATAACTGGGAGTTGTTTATTTAGACTAAATAACAACTCACTGACCATAATTCAAAACATGGATACCCTTAAAACGCAATGGACTATTTATTGTATTCTCTCATTCTGACTAAAGATGGCGGCGCTAGCAATAGGCGATGGTCAATACTGTTATAACGTCTATCTGGTTTATCATGGAGTCTCAATCGAAAATTAGTTGAAGCATAGCTATACAAATAATTTTATAGCTAAAAGGTATATGTACAGATAAATAAATGTACTATTTATGAAAAAATAAAGTCTTACTGTATGCTTTTTTCGTTCCCTTCTCTAGAAATTGTTGTCTTTTTATGTTGCTAGCAATACATAGCGTTTTGTGTGTATGGAGGTCTATTGTTAAATTATGATTACAGTTTTAAAAATAGAAGGGAATTTCTAACGTATGGAACGTCGCTATCAATAAAAAAAAAAAAATCAAGGTGTATATCGATATCGACGTGTCTGCGTACTGATCCATAGTTTTATAGGCTGCTTTTAAATAATAATAATAATAATATAATTGTTTATTTTAACACCGGTACTGTATATATTATACTGAATCAATAATGTCGGTATTAAACCCTTACCAAAGAAATATCCTTTATTCAATTGCATCAATGCAGTGTCAGTGAGATCGACTGCTTTGCTCTAAGTCTATGGCTGTTTTCGTATTGGGGTAGAAATAAAATTGTAATAATTTTCATCTAAAATTATTGTTTTTTTATTCTTCTCTTGAAAGGTCTAATTATATTTTTATAATTCCTTTAGGGAGAAGAAAGTTACTGTGCGATTTAAAACTATATATCCAACTTCAGTATATACAATGAAAGATTTTAAAACAATAAAATATAAAACGAAAACTTTTAAAACATTGCACAACTTAAAACCATACATTTAAAAAATGGTGAACATAAAAATACTTATCAAAACCTAAAACTAATTCGTTAAGAATATCAATAGGTAATAAATTCCATTGTTTGTGGAAAATTGATAAAAACGGAGAATTTAAAACAATTTATACGGGAATAAAATGTGTAAATTTTTAAATTGTCAATATGACGGCAGTTAATAGATATAAAATTATTGCAATCAATAGAATATACACCAGATAGGCACTTAGCAACAAATGGAATGTACGTATTAGTAATCCGTTTGTAAGGATTAGTAATTCGTTTGTACGGATTACTAATTCGTTTGGACTGATTGCTAATTCGTTTGTACGTATTACAGTAGTAATTCGTTTTCATGGAGTAATAATTCGTTTGTATAGATTATTAATCCATACGAACGGATTACAATATATACTTGACTGGCAATAATGGGCTTTTTTCTACATTACTGCAAATCCGTTATTGAATATATACTTGTTATAGTCTAATTTTTTAAAAAGAGTACCTTTTAAAATCCCGTATTGTTTTAAAATGCTGAAGATGTGGGCGTGTATTATATTGATTTCTGTTAAACAATGTAATTCGACAACTGTTGTTCCGCACATGTGCAAAAACAGTGTGGGTCAAATCAGATTCGAATATCGTAGACCGCATGTCCAGCAGGTCCCGGGTTCGAATCGTTGTTGGATTCCTTTTCTTTATAACGTTAAATTTTAATTACTATACGATATCTTCATCATATTTATTTATTTATTTGTTTATTCTTATTTTATTTATTATTTTATTTCTTTATTTTTTCATTTAATTATTTTTAAATTTTGCTTTATTTTTTTTAAATTTATATATTTATTTTTTTTTTAATTTATTTATTTTAATTTAATTTATTTATTTTTTTATTTTTTTATTTCTTTATTTTTATTCATTATTTATTTATTTAGTTATCATTTAATTATTTTTAAATTTTGCTTAATTTTTTTTATTTATATATTTATTTTTTTAAATTTATTTATTCCCGTACGTACGCTTTATTAGAAGATGTGTATAATTATTTATTTATTTAGTTTACCGTATATTTTTTTATTTATTTCTTTTTTTTAAATCTTTATTTTAAAATTTTTTTTTCATTGAAAAATAAATTTATTTAATAATTCTATACAAATAATTACTTGCTTTTTACTATTTTCAACTTAAATTTTGATAATAATACATCAAGTTATTTTTCTCCTGCCAGATTGGCTCTTTTGTATGTGAAAAGTTGCTGTATAGTATTAATGATTGATTTCCAGTTATGATTTTTAATTTGTAATGATGCTGTAAGATACGGAGCCCCTAAGGGACTTGGTTAAAGAAAATATTAAACTATTTCGAGGGAACGAAATAATATTGCGAGGGAACGAAATATTATTTCGTTCCCTCGAAATATTATATTTCGAGGGAACGAAATATTATTTCGTTCGAACGAAATATTATTTCGTTCTCTCGAAATCATTTCGAGGAAACGAAATCATTTCGTTCCCTCGAAATATTATTTCGTTCCCTCGAAATATTATTTCGTTCCCTCGAAATAATATTTTGTTCCCTCGAAATATTATTTCGTTCCCTCGAAATACTATTTCGTTCCCTCGAAATAATATTTCGTATATGGTACGCTCACAGTGCCTTCGGCGTCGGCTGTCGTTATGGGTGGCGCAAGGATTTTCCCAACGGTGGGGCCGAGGTCCCCGGCTGGGGGTCCATGCCCAAGACGAAAGCAAAGTGGGTGTGGTTGAGCTTTCATTAAAAGGTTTCAACAGTTTATAAATTTTGAAAATTTAAGGGTTTCACAGGATGCCCCGACGAGGGGTAAGATTTCCTTGACGAGGGCAAAGTGGGTGTGATCGTCACTTAACACATTTCGAAAGTGGTCTGCGGGGGTTTCAAAGGCTTATTTAATCGACTTTAGAGTCCACTAATATGTACAAATACATATAATTTTAATTTTTTTTTTGCTCCCCAACGAATTATGCTTTTTCTCCCTGACCGGGGAGGGGGCGCAGCAGCTATCCCCGAAGGGTGGCCTGGTGCCACCCGTGTTTCTTACTCTTTAAACTGCATTACGATGTTCGGAACTTTGTATACAACTTTACCATTATCCTAATTTGTAAGGCTGTTGTATTTATTGCATACAGTTTTGTATTCTTATTCTCTAAATTTTAGAGAGTCCTGTAAGTTGCTGAATTTTTAACATTGTTTAAATCGCAACTGAATTTTCTATGCTTTTGCATCAGCAAAAAAGTTAATAACATGATCAAAGTTAGCAGTGTTGTCTGCTTCATCACGCTCTAGTGCCAAAGCAGATCTAGTCTCGCTTTTCCCATCGTGGCTCTGAGATATGGCAGGATGAGTAGTCATTACAGAATAGGATAAAAAACAAGAGAAAACGGTCAAAATGGACTGAAAATAAATCACAATTTATAAATTTTGCCAATATAAACAACTCATTCAGATTCTACGAAGCTGTTTAAGGGACATGGTGAATTTTTTTTATTTTCCTAACCCGTACGTACGCCTTATTAAGGCGTACGTACGCCTTAATAAGGCGTACGTACGCCTTATTAAGTCGTACGTACGGGTTACATAAGGCGTACGTACGCCTTAACAAGGCGCACGTACGGGTTACATAAGGCGTACGTACGCCTTAATAAGGCGCACTTACGGGTTACATAAGGCGTACGTACGCCTTATTAAGGCGTACGTACGGGTTACATTAGGCGTACGTACGCCTTTTTAAGGCGTACGTACGCCTTATTAAGGCGTA